GAACATAACTGTTACTTCTGGTGTTCCACAAGGCAGTCACTTAGGTCGTCCTGTATTATTTGTTCTGTACCTCACATCAGCTATTACAACGTCAAGAGTGCTAACGTTTGCTTATTATGTTAAACTTTTCCCAAATCTTAATTCTCCAAAGAAATATATTTATTTGCAAAATGATCTGCACTCCCCGGACTATGGGGTGTACGTGCTCCTCCCGTTATGAGGAGATGGCCCCCACGGTTGGCAGGGCGGGAATGAGAATGTGAAATTTATTTCGTTTATGTGTACTCTTGAAAGTATGATTGTCTCCCATTGAGATAATTACTAAGACAACGGTAAATGTGTTGTCATATTGTTATGACCTCTTGTATCCTATCAGTTTGACCTTCTAGCTAGCAAACGTTGGGCGCCATTTCTTTTATGGCCTCTTGTATCCTATCAGTTATGTGACTTTTTAATTTTGATATTTTATCTCTCCAAATTTTTAAAGTGGCCAATTATTTTATGACTAGCAAAGTGCCCGCTACTTCGTATGCGGAAAGGGAATACAAAAAATATTTCATATGGAATCGTGAATACTGTAAATTTGTTGTAATATAGTTTGCGATTTCGTACTCTTCATACACATAAGCACCATTTTCCAAAATCTCTCTTACTTCCATTAAAGAGATTAAAACCAGTAAGGAAAGTAGTAAAGTACACCATGCAAAATTTCGTGCAAGTCGAAAGATATATAGGGACTTTGGTACACCATTTACATTAAATCGGACGAAGTTATATATGGGAGCTATATCTAAATCGGAACCGATTTTCATGATGTTTAACAAACATCGTTCTAGACTTAATTCAGCTCGCTGTGCCTAATTTTGTGTAAATCGAAGTATATATAGGGAGTTTTGTGCACTATTGACCTAAAATCGGACTAAAATATATATGGGAACTATATCTAAATCTGAACCGATTTTTCCCAATTTCAATAGGGCCAAATGGACGGACATGCATAAATCGACTTCGAATGTGATTCTATACATATTATTAAAAGGAACCATGGGTCTATCTCGTTTCCTTTTGCCTATTATAAACATATGCACAAAGACATAATTTCTGTACCACAGTGTGTGAGGGTATAAATAGATCAGAATTCCAATTATATATTTTAGCAAATACGTACAGGTTCCGCATTTACTTCCATTTAGTACTTTTCGAACACATAATTACACATTTTCAAGACTACCTCCATACCACCACTAAATCTACTACCAGTTAGTATAAAAACCCCTTTGGTACTTCTTTCTAACTCTCGGTCAGTGACCCACATTTGGTACCATTCTGTACCTTTCCCACACTCCCACAGTAACCTAAGTTGCAACTTTCAGGATTCGAGTTCTATCCGTTCACAAAAGTCCAAATTGTACGAAATTTTGTGGTTTTCTTACCCAGAGTACGAATTACCAAAACTACCTCAGTCATGCACTCCAATAATAACCTTAAGTCTGTATTTAAAGATTCCAGTTTGGTACAACTTTGATTTTGGTGAACGGATACCAAAATCAAAGTTGTACCAAATTTAGTACCATTTATTACTTTTCATAGACGTAAGTACGAGTTTCTAAAACAGCCTCAATTCCACACTGCAACAGTAATTTTAATCATAATTTCTAGGATACCAGCCCTACCCGTTCACATAGATGTCAATTTTACCATATTTAGTACCATTTAGTACTTTTCGTACTTATGAGTTCGAATTTCCAACAATGCCTCAATCCTGTCGCATAACAGACTATCTCCATGTCCCTTCCTACACTCCAACCTTAATTTTAATTTCAAATTTTAGAATTCCCGGTCACAGACAACGAATCGTTTCCACGACAGAGGGGTCTACGATCCGAAACGACCCGAGTCTTACTCGGCCAACGTCTGTCACCTCAGCCCATTGTGTAAAAGCAATAGGGCTACTACAACAACAACAACAGACAACGAATTGTACCATATTTAGTACAATTAATTGTCCATAACTACGAAATTCCAAAAGAACCTTAATTCTGTAATTTTCCTTCCAATCTTAAGTTTTCCATCTCTATCCGTTAATTCTAATCCAAATTGTACTTTGTCCCATTTAGTACACATAATAACCAATTTTCCAAGCTACTGACTTATCTTAATCCTGCACTCTAACTGTAATACTAATTCAAAATTTCAGAATCTCAGCCCTATCCGTTCACGCAAAAACAATTTGCAAACTATTTGGTACCATTTAGTACTTTTTGTTTCTATAATTAAGAATTTCCTAAACTACCTCAATCCTATACTCAAACAGGAATTTGTATTCCAAAAATCTGGAGTCCAGCTCTATCCGTTTTCCAATAATCAAGTTGTACCAAATAAAGTAAAATTTAGTACACATAAGTACTATGCTTCCATATCTATATTAGAAATTTTAGATTTCCAGCTCTCTCCGTTCACCCAAATCCTAATTGTACCAAATCTAGTGCCGTTTAGTATTTTTCGTACACATAAATACGAAATGTTAAACATATGGTCTGTTCCAGTGCTTTTTTACAACGTTACCTAAAATCCGACGGGGCGTACAAAAATATTCAACTTCCCCACTATGGCAAAATGTATTACCCAAATACGTCGAATCCATATCTTCAAGCTAATAATATAAACTGCAAAAAAAATTGACAATTTATTAAATTAATCCACATATTTTTAGTTTACATTCGAAATTTCAAATTTCCATGTTTTGTTTTCAACAAAAGAAAAAAATGAAAAAACGTTCTGTCAAAGTTGAAACTGTTCAACTTGATATTTTGTACATTCGGCGTATTTCGGTAACATTCATATAAGTACATGTGTTCTACTTTTGTGGTGAAAAATGTCGAACGAGCTAGTTGAATTTTAGGTAAGGCTGTTAATAGTAAAGTGATTAAAGGGAAACATGTCAAAATCGCTCTCAGAGTACAAAATAATTTGAAAAGGGAACGCAAATCTAGTAAATATGCCAAATTAGATGGCAATACTTCAAAATCAACATAACAGCCAATCAGAAGTAGGTATTCCTGTTTACCATTTTTACTCGGCCAAATTTCTCGAGTAAAAAGTTTACAAAGAGAACGCCATTTTGTTTTGAGGTTCATGAACGGTTTTCGAGTAAAAGGTAGCAAAACTTGAGTAGGTTCTGGAACGGAACTATAATAATAAATGCACCTAACGATAAGAGAATGAATTATAAGACTGACACGGACCACTGTGCACATATTTACGGAAACATAGTTCATAGGCACAGACGAAGAGAAACTTGGTTTAGCATAGACGGTGATAAAAATCGGTTGCTTTTTTCATAACCGTAAGATTTGTGTAATTAATTAAGTTTTATACATACAAGTATTTAAGTATGTTTATAGTATTTCCCTGAAGATGACTGCCGAAGACAGTCGAAATATTGGAAAATAAAAATAAATCAAAACTAAAAACCATCGATTTTTCAATTGACCTAGAGCCAAACAAAAATCTACAAGAATTAACATATCACAGGTCAACAATAACAACAAAGTGAAAATGCGAAAACATCGCTGCGAGTTCTGGTTCCGAATAACATTAAAGGGAAGAGCGAAAAAAATCACGGTGAATTTATGGCCCGAATAAGGCTGTGTATTGACTTATTTCTGTGGAATATGACATTATTCGGATCCCGCCACTGATATTTAGTTCAAAAGCTATTTTTAATAATTTATTTAAAAAGAAAAATAAATTACACACAAGTTATTTTCCATTGAGATCGATTAATTGGAAATTTCGTTTATGTCTTTAACACGGAATTTGTAAACAAACTTTATATTTTTCCCACATCGTCGCTTTGTTCGTTTTCCGTTTATTAGAATATACGGTCCAAAACGAACAGTGTGTCATTCGCCCAATGACTGTCTCCCCAGCCAAATTGACAATAATCATTATCATAGTTATTTAAATTTTAAATGATTTGGTTCACTGTGGTTAAGTGCATTTTTAATTGACTATGTAATTTTAAATAAATACACACCGAAATGTTTTTCCACATTTTCTCTTACATATAGTATTTATTTTTCATCAAGGACAATAATTATTATCAGTTTATTTTGCAACAAACTTGAATACACATACATACATTTGAAAATAAAATGATAAATTTTTATTATTGTTATTATTTTATACAAGTCACATAATATTTGATGGCGAATAATAATAGCATACTAATAGGAAAAATGAGCCAGTATGCATATGATGATGTTGATGAATGGAAATCAAATAATAATAAAAATAATAAACAGAAATGAAAAGTGCGATAAGAATAACTAATGGAATAGTTATATGAAAAAAACAAAAACAAAGGCAGTTATAATCGATAATCTTAAACATATACGTATATATAACAATTATAATTAATTATAATGTAATGCAATTATAAATTCGCACAAATTCACACATCACACTTTAAGGTGCTGGAATCATGTAAAACTAAACCAAAAGGAATTAACTTAAAATATATCGATGTGAACTACTAATTTTGACATATATGCGAAAAATACAACTAATGAGAAAAAAGTTAAAAGACAATAACAAATATAAACTACTAAACACAAGCAAAATCACACATTAAATTTTTTTAAGGCCAAATTCCAAATAAAATTATTTTACTAAGTAATGAAAGCAAGTCATGGATACGTGTTAAAATCATGGTACAATGAAGAGGTCGCCTTCTTATATGAATATTTCTATATTTCGGAAAATGTTTTTTTTTTTTAATAATTATAGTAGTTATTTCGATATCATTGTTCGTTTGCACAATGACACTACGACCGAAGAAGAACGAACATCATATCTAATGTGGCGGAAAATACATAGTTATATTTATATCTATAGGAGTAGTAAGGTAGTAAATTGTGAAGCGCATCAAAGACGATGTATAACATTTCATTTGACAAAAATTCATAGAATGGGGGTTTTGTTTTTTTTCTTCTTCTTTTTTTAATCTATACCGTTTTATTCTACACCATGAGCAAATATCATAACAAGACCAGGCTCGACCATAACATCTTCAGACATATGGGCATTATCACAACTTAGAACTAATACAGCTTGTTTGCCTGAAATGTAAGGAGAAGAAAAAGAAATTCGGAATTACTACATTACTTGTGAAAAATAAAAATACAATTTTTTAAAGCAGATATTAATATTTTCTTTACCACACTAGGTTAAAGGATGTGCTCCACTCGGATATATATTTTCCATTGTGATCATCCTAAAATACTGTGTAAACCCAGTAAGGAAAGTAGTAAAGCCGGACGGGGCCGTCTATAAGATACCCTTTACCACTTTGGCTATTTTCAAGAGATGCACCCCAACAGACCTTGCATTTTTGAAGGACCATTGCATAAAATTGGACATTGACAAGAAGATGGACCTCCACCATAGTATGGAGGCTATATTAAGTTTGTTTTTCGAAATAATTATTTCCGACCCTATAAATTATATATATATATATATATATATGCGTAAAATTCTGTCTGTTGTTATTACTCTAGCCTCTAAACGAATTGAGATAGATCGCCAAAATTTTGTAATGTGTTCTTATTGAGTACCAAATTTCTCCACTAAAAATTATATCGTTTCACTTTTTCAATACGTTGCGCTCTTTTGTGCAAAGGGTCAGTCCTTTGAGCAAGTAAATGACCTGTGTCAAATTTCATCTCATTCAGATATTAGAGTAACTTCGGGTAATGTGGACCACCATTTTCTTTTTTTTATATTGTACGCGTAACAACGATAAAAAATAAAAACAAATTGTTTTCACAGCATGGTAGATTTGTTGGGTAATTATATTCCAGGTCAAAAAGTATATATATTTGTCCATAAAAATGTTATTGCATTATATTTCAAAAAACTCTAAACTTCAAATAAAAATAACTTGGCGGGTAATGTGGACCAGTAAGTGTGGGTAATAAGGATCAGTATGTTAAAGGTAGGTTGTGGATTAATTGTGATAAATTTCAATTTATTGCACTCTTGGGTAACAATGAATGCAAAAATATATGGATCCATGTTTTGGAATAGCCCCCATTTAAGGGTACCACCTAATTTGCGGTATTTTGAAGGTCCTTGCTACATTATCCAACCGAGGCACCTAAAATTTCGGATATCGAGTTTTCAGAGGATAGAATACCTCCTCGCATATTAAATGCGTCCTTGTTTCGAACTCGTCCTCATGAAAATGTCCCACTTTTTTATAGTGGTCCACATTACCCGACATTGGATATTTTTATTTAAAAATAATTATCGGCTTCAAAAATGAATAAAAATTTAAAAATAACCGATTGTAATTACAGATAAACGTGTATTTTTGTTAAAGAAAACAAGAAAACCACATAACCTCTTTATATTCGAGAAAAGAAAAATGTTCGATTATTTTCCAAATCGTTCGACTATTGTGGTAAAAAATTTTCAAATCACACTTTTGCAATCAGAGCTACATTTTCACCTACTAAATTTTCAACATTGCAATTATTTATTAAAAACCAAGCTTGATGTTTGTTTTCACTAATTAGGAAAACATTTATCAAGGTGGCATTGACATATTTCAAGGATTTTCTTAGATATGGGGGGTGGTCCACATTTGACGCATGGTCCACAATACCAGAAGTTACTCTAACATGGACAGACGGACGGAAGCAGAAAGTGATTCTATGCATATTCTCAAAAATATCCCTGGGTCTATCTCGTTTCCTTTTGCATATTACAAACATATGCACAAAAAGATAGAGATAAATATCAAATATCAGGGAAGGGATAGGGTTGGCAACTCAGCCGCGCAACAACTTGGACTAATCGTGGGAAGTTTTTTTAATAATGAAAGGCACTACATATACATCTCAGAACCATACTGAACCTATAAATTAAGAAAATATCCATGACTGAGGATTAGTTTTATATGACGGATGTTTTCTGAGTTAAACATGACCTTTTTAGCTTATATATATTTTTCATATTTGTTAAACATTCTCCAAGTGAACTCCTATAAATAGTTTACACTTACCTGGTACCCGCCGACAAATATAGTTATCATAAATGCGGCGATTATTTTGCCTTGTCTCTAGAGAACTCAAACCACGGGGCCAGCGTCGCTCATGACAATTTTCCATTAGGTTGTCTAAGATGTGCGGGGGACAACCAGATTCCGACAAAGCCCGTTTTATCATCATCTAAAATTTTATAGTATATAATTAGAAATATATATTAACAGTAATTTTTTTCCAAAACCCACCTGTAGTGCATCATCAGGTGTTGAAATCATACCACCCCAGCGTGTTACACGTGCCCGAGACAATGTACTGCTCCAACGAATAACTTCATCACGTTCCATTTGATCGGCAATAGCACGCACAGCTGGATTGGAAACACGCATAGCACGCATAAAATCTTTAAATAGCTGGACTTCACGCTTCAATTCATTTATGGTTAAATTTTGATCAGATATTTCCGTTTTGAACTCGACCATTTTCTGTTGCTGTGTCAATATCATGGCACGCAGTTCCCGTACACAGTTATGATCCTTGAGCTCATCTTTTGGTATAACAATGCCACAGCCTTTTTCACATGGCAATGGCTTTTTTGGATTGTGTTCACATTCTTCTAGATGTGCATTAAGAGCATCAAGTTTTAGTACCAATGTGCAACCGTGTGCAGCATTATCACAGGTTATGGACAGCCTATAAGAAAAATTGTATATATTATCAAATGCAACAATATATTTTAAATAGAATTTATATCAGCATAACGAGGTATTTCAATTGTATTGAAATACGTTGACTTGCCCCATTAACTTACCTTGCCAATAGATTTCTTAATATCCTTGGAACTGCTCTTAAATTTGCTGTCGTTAAAGAGTTGCGATCGACAGGACATGTTGGTTGGCGAGACAGCCACTCATTTATGCATGCACGACAAAATGCATGCTCACACATTGCCGCCTAGTAGCACATATATAGAAAAGTATTTAGATGCTCGGTATCGAAAAAAACGAGACAACCAGTTTATATACATACCTGTAAGGGTTCCTCCAGTACACCGGAACATATTGGACATGTTAATTCCTCGTCGACCTCGCCCTGGAAACGATGTAGGTCATAACCCATTGCTTTCTTTTCTTCTTGTAGCCGCTTGCTAGTTGGTTATAATTATGGTGTTATGTTGTTGTTGTGGAGGTAATGAGTAGAGAAGCAGAATGTTGTGACAACACCAACAACAACACTACTCACGCTACGGCCTGACTGCCTTGTTGTATATGTTGTCAAGCACCAACAACAAACAATAGATACAAATATCAACTATTATGCACCTTGAAAATTTTCAAAACAAAGTTATGGCCTTAATGGCCGGCAGGGTAATCCAAATTTTCACACCGAATTTTAGTAGTTTGTATTCCGATAAATTATATCCCTTTTTTAATATTTTAATAATACAAAAACAAACTCATTAAAAAGTTTTTTTCCGTCCTTTCCTTTTCGTCGAAGCTCGTACTCTGAACCCATCGAAATTAATAACGTTCCACCTTCTACGAATATTGGAGATAGGCTAGTAGAAAAGAGACTCAAAGCAAAATTGCCAAGAATGACCATTGTTTACGAATGAATGAACAAAATGCAAATGAAATATGTTGCCACATTTGGAAATGTGGCAACTCTTCGCATTATTCCCTGCTAAAACGGCATTTACATTAGAACTTTTTACCGGGTTAACATGGTACAATTATTCAAAGTAGGCCATATAGGTTTCATTTTTTTGCATATTGTGGCTTGTTATGCCAGACATATTCAAAATGTGTGACTGCGTATGTGATAGTGTGAAAAATATTGAAAATAAATTCAAAATTCCATTTGTTTCAAGATGAATTTTACAAAATTGGTAAGAAGAAATTTATGATTTGTAAACATATTCCCAACTCGATTTTGAAAATAAAACCTGTCATTTCATTTATTTTTCGCGTTTTTGGCAAAATGATAAATATGTGTCAAATGACGACTTGTTGCATGTGTTTTTATATATTCTGACTTTATAACCCACAACGTAGAAGTGTATTTTTTTTTTTGTTGACTAAAGATATCCTACCTTTTATAATTCTACCATGAACAGTCCAATAGTAACAAGCATTATATATTATTTTTTATTTTCAGTTGGCATTATATTTTTAGTTACGTTACAATTTTTAATTTGAACGTATTATGAAGCTTACTTTTAGGAAATGTGATTGTTTTTTGTTTTTTGGTGCCAAAGGGTTGTATTTGAAATTATATCGATTTAGCTTCGACTCGATTTGTAAATCGGAATATTAAATCCCATTTGTGGATTTGTGCAGTGCATTTGTCAGCTGTTATTATTTTACGTAAACATATAAATAACACTGCTTTATTAATTTCTGTGGCATTTTTAAAAATTTTGATAGGAATTGCTCTTCATTCGGTCAGAAATGCATTAAAAAAATGTTTTAAATTATAGTAATACTTATTATAAATTAAAAAAATAAAATTTTCAGCAGCTGACATACTTTTTTTAGGAAGTTATTTTAAATATTAACTAATTTTAAAGTATTAAGTATACTTTACGGAGAAGCGATAATTTTTTGGTACAAAAACAGGATTGTATTTGAAATTTTCTCGATTTTGCATAGGATTTCGTGCAGATTCATATATTAAGTAGATTTAATCGAGTTAAATTTAACATAAACGGCATTAGAACTTTTTGCCGGGTTAACCTTCTTTATGAGGATTTATTTGACATATATGCATTGGAATTGATATTTTTGATCATTCAAATATTTGACAACACAAACATACTATTAATGTTTGCAAAAAATTGCTAAATCATTTGTATATATAAATATTTTGAAGTTCCCTGCCTCTCAAACTTATAAATATAAGTTGTAACAATCATGGTTAAATGTTGAGAGCAATGTGCAGCTTTAGAAAATATATTTTATTTAATTTCAATTTCTCAAATGAGACTAACTTCCATAATTATTCCATGCCTATTTTTTATTAACCGTACAGGAACAAAGCAATTATCAGCTGATTGTATATCGGCTATATACCTCACACTCATTCGTAAACACAACACAATATGTTGGTCATTCTCTTCTGTCTCCTTTATTTTATCATTTCAAACTAGTTCCGGCCGTTCTTTTCACAAACTAATTTATTTGAACTTATTCGTTCCGGAAGGATACAACACCTTGGAAATAAAATTGTGTTTGTGGATTTTGGGTGCTATAAACAATAAGAACCGATAATGGTTATTAGCGCCAACAATTTACGCAGCCAACTAATGGCTTTGGTCAATTTTTCCGGCACCCACAAAGAACAGACCGACCGGTATCGTCAATTATTGGAAATGGTATTGACCAATACCGGCAATGACCTGGTCGATACATTAAAATTATTTGTTGAAGCAATTGTTAACGAACATGTTAGTCTGGTCATATCACGTCAGATATTGAATGACGTTGGCATACAATTGAGTAAGCTGCCCGATGATGTTTCCAAAGTTGTGTCGCATTTTACCTTGGACAAGGTACAACCTCGAGTAATCTCTTTTGAAGAACAAGTTGCTGGCATTCGTCAGCATTTAGCGGATATATATGAACGTAACCATCAATGGCGTGACGCTGCCAATGTCCTAGTCGGTATACCATTGGAGACCGGGCAGAAACAGTATACAGTGGACTATAAGTTGGAGACCTATTTGAAGATAGCACGTCTCTTTTTGGAGGAGAACGATTCAGCACAAGCTGAGTTTTTCATAAACCGTGCGTCTTTGTATCAGGCTGAGACACATAGTGAAGAGTTACAGGTAAATTGGTTTATCGGGATTAAGTTGCGATTTTATAATTGAATCTACTATTCCTTACAAAGGTCATGTACAAAGTTTGCTATGCTCGTGTCCTTGACTATCGTCGCAAGTTTATTGAAGCTGCCCAACGTTACAACGAACTCTCCTACCGTACAATTGTCGATGAGGGTGAACGGATGACTGCACTGAAAAAAGCTCTCATTTGTACTGTGCTGGCTTCTGCAGGACAACAACGTTCCCGTATGTTAGCTACTCTTTTCAAAGACGAACGCTGCCAACAACTGCCTGCCTATTCGATTCTGGAGAAAATGTACTTGGATCGCATTATACGTCGTTCCGAGTTACAGGAATTCGAAGCATTATTACAACCGCATCAAAAGGCGGCAACCGTTGACGGGTCATCGATTTTAGATCGTGCTGTTTTCGAGCATAATCTCTTGTCGGCAAGTAAGCTGTATAACAACATAACGTTTGTAGAATTGGGAGCTCTGCTAGAAATACCCGCATCTAAGGCTGAAAATATTGCTTCGCAAATGATAACTGAGGGTCGTATGAATGGGCACATCGATCAAATCAGCGGTATTGTTCATTTTGAAAAACGTGAAGTATTACCATTGTGGGATCGTCAGATACAATCGCTGTGCTATCAGGTCAACTCAATTATAGAAAAAATTGCTGCAGCAGAACCGGATTGGATGGCTCATACTTTGGATGAAGTTAATTCGTAAACGAAATCAATTTCTGCTGGAAAACAAAAACAAAAGCTTATATTTGTGTGTGAAAAAATGTTTGCTGGTCACATCTTTACAAACAAAAAGAAAAAAACGAAAATAAATGCTCTTTATTATTTAAAAACATTTTTTTTAAATTGTTATATTAACTTTCTTTAATAAATTTCAAAATATTCTAACGTTTTTGGAGTTTTATCTATCGCTATCGTTCTGACTTTTTGTTTAAGTTTAGCATGTTAGTGCCATAATCTTTTGAATGATTTTTAAGTCAGTTTTTTTCTCTTTCAAGTCGAGCTTAATGATCGCAGTTTTGTTATTAATTTTTTTTATATATTTAGATGAGGATGGTCCAAATACTGACGTAAAAAAGATTATGGTATCCTAAAGGAGTTGACCGCAACATTAAATGATCCAGAAAACTAAAAATTGGATAGAATGTTACCGAAATACGTCGACGTACAAATTTTCAAAGTTGAAAAAATTCAACTATGACAGAACGTAGTTTTGTTTTTTTCTTTTGTTGAAAAAAGAAACAAAACATAAAGAAATATAACTTTTTTCAATAAGAATATGAAATATTTAAACACATTTTATGATTTCTTAATTTTATTTCGCGATTTTGTTTAGTTCGCTAAGAAAAATGGATTCGACGTATTTCGGTAATACGGCCGTACAAAACATTTTGCCATAATGGGGAAGTTGAATATTTTTGTACGCTTCGTTGAATTTTAGGTAACGTTGTGAATGGGAAACTTTCCAAAAAATATGTCATTAAAAAGTAATTCATGTCAATAAATATGTTGACGTTGAATCAAAAAAATTCACATTTTTACTAGGACTATCTACAGACTAAATACTTTCTGACAGGTCAGGACATTTGCAAAAACTGACGAATACATTCTGGGAACATTTAAAACATTAAAACTATGCCATGATTTTCTTATGGACCAGTTTTTACTAACATGATATGAGGGAAGCTGGTACGGCCTTTAACATGGACCGCGATACTTCCAATTCAGTTGAAGAAGTGTTTGTCTTGACCAAAAATGAAGCATTTACAGCTTACTGGTTTATAGGTTTAATCATGGCATAATTATATAAGGTAGTCTCATGCAGTCAGTATGCTTTCAAAATTTAGATGAAAATTTCTTCCTTTGAAAAGTACGCGTATCATGTGTTCAGTGGCAAAAATTGCTAAATAATTTATATTTATAAATATTTTGATGTTAACTGCCTCTAAAACTTATAAATATAAGATGTAATAACCATGGTTAAATCTTGAGAGCAATGTTCAGCTTTAGAAAACATATTTTGTTTAATTTATTGAAAATGAGCCAATCGACATTTGTACATTAATTTTAATTTTTCATCATGGTATAATAATAGAAGGTAACAGCAAGTGTTGTTGTACAAAAAACGATACAACAACCACATGGAAATTTGTTGTTGTAAGTTCTACTAGTGTCAACTCATTTGACAGAAAAATGTAAACAAACAAATTATCATCAAATTATTTTTATTTTGAAAATGAAATATTTTCGAATGCTCAAAATAAAAATTAAAAAACATGAATGAAAATCTTTCAAATTTATATTACTATCGC